GAACTCACGGACCCTGAGATCATGACATGAGCTGAAGTCAGACACTTAACCAACTGAGCCACCCAGGTGCCCCATTAATGTAATTATTCTGACTACAATCAACAGATACAGAACTTGGAAGGTGAAGTACAATGGGTCAACCAAGCCAAGATCTTCAAATGTTCTGATTTACATCAAGTTAGCAGTTGAGAGCACTAGGGTGGCTCAGGTCTTTATTCCTTGCGTTAGATGCTGGGCGTTGGCATAGAAAATTTGGCAAGTGAGGCGTCACACTCCTCTGTCTGGCCAAGCCCTGGCGGTCGACGCTGTCAGCTCGCAGATTCTTCTCCTCCATCTCCAGGGGGTGGTGTGCTCTAAGGTGATCTCTCCCGCTCCTTCACTTACTTTCCTTGCTTTCTTTGGGAAGTGGAGTATGTCTGCCTGTCTTTCCCTCCCTCATGAGTCAAATTATAAGTATCATTAACAATTTAAGGCCCTTCTTGTAAAATGCCTCTTTATCAAAAGCAAGCACTTTGTTCTCAGTAGTATCACTATTTACAGAACACAGAAGGTCAAACCTGTATCATTTGCAAACCCCTGCGTTATCTCACAACTGTCAATGCAGACGACAAGGGTAACGAGGAACTGTCACAGAACTGATCATACCTGAGAATCTGGAACACCTTCAGCTTCTGCCACAATTACGTGTTTGTCACCATTGTCTTCATCTTGTTCAATTGCTTTAAGCAAAGAAAAAGAAAAGAAAAGGAATGTTAAAAACAATGTAGCATCATAAGAAAGCAGTTTTAGATAATTTCCTTTCAGATGGCAATTTGGCAAGAAAAAACAATGTTAGGGAGATTCACAAAATGTAAATATCAGTGCTATTTTTAATTATTTGGATGGAACTTTAATTGCGTCAGGCACTTCTCATGTACATTTTCTTGTTTATTAAATTGACGGCAGTGGAACAGTTTGCTCTCGTAGGTTCTTCACCTAAACCTGACCAGCATGTCAGTACTGTGCTTCATTCTAACGGGATTTAGGGTGTAGTTGAAGGCTTCTACCAAGTTGATCCGAGAACAGTACTTTTTTTTAAACAATGTGGGTTTCTTGGCTGGTAGTTTACAGTCATATAATAAAGAAAGCATAATTGTATATTTAGACCGCTCAGTGCATTGTTACCACAAAATTCCAAACTGGGAAGTCTTGAATCTACCTCTGCTCCTGTATCTTCCCAGCATCTCCCTATCCAAGTCCTTATCACCCCTTCTGCACTCAGGCAACAACCTCCTAACACAAAGCTCTTGATTCCACCCTCTCCTTCATACAATCCAGCTGGGGCACAATTGCTGAAATAATCAGTCTCAAAAAATATAACAAGTACCATGCTTTGGTCTATATTATCGCTTATCTTATCAAGTATAAATTCCCTGTTTGTCATTGAAGGTCTTCCTTGAATTCTCTAGCTTCCTCCTAACCTGCAACTTCACACTGACATTCAATACAACCCTGATCCAGGCGGACCGACTTGATTATTTTGCTCTTTGTACAGTTGGCTCTTTCACCCTAAAAATATTTCCTGAGTGGTGACTGTGTGCCTGGTACTGAGGCTACTCCTGCGAGCAAGGCCAATAAACCCTGACTTCATGAAGTACACATCCTGGCTGGGAAGAGAGACAATGAACAACAACAACTACTACTACAACTAACAATAACAATAATGATAATGGTAACGATAACAGTAAAAATAGTAAGATGGCATTAGAGATCATGAGAAATGGGGCAATGACAGAAAACCGACAGGGAGAGGTCACACTTGAGGGAGGGAGGCAGGGATGGCAGTTCCCTGAAGAAGCGACACTTGGGGGAGACCTCAAGGTTCGGATGGAGCCATCCATGGCAGGTGAGAGTGATAGGAGACAAACCCAGGGAAAGCACAGCCCAGCGTGAATCCAGATTTTAGCCTAAGAACATGGGAAAGCACAATGGAATTTTAAATTAGAATTGCATGATTTGATGTGTATTTTCCAAAGTTCTTTTTGACTTCTTTGTGGAGAACAGACTTAACAGAAGCGAGAGAGGAAATAGGGAGCCACTTAGGTGACTCTTGTTAATATCTTTTTTTTTTAAGTTTATGTATTTATTTGATAGCTAGAGCACGAGCAGGGTAGGGGCAGAGAGAGAGGGAGAGAGGATTCCAAGCTCTGTCAGTGTAGAGCCGGATGCAAGGCTCAAACCCACAAACAGTAAAATTATGATCTGAGCCAAAGTCGGACACTTAACCAACTGAGACACCCAGGTGCTCCCAACTGCCAACATCGTGACTAGAAATGACAATGGCTCAGACCGGGGAGGTGGCAATGAGCTGCAGAAACATGGAGGATTTGAGCTGACTTTTTAGACAAAATGGACACCACTTGCCAATGAACTGAATATGGTTGATGGAGGAGATGAGAAGAAGCAATCAAGGATAACTCCTAAGTAGAATAAGTTATTCCTATCTTCTGTGCCATTTATTCTTTTGCACTCTCCAACAAAAGCAGGGCAAAAATATTACCAACCTTACTGACAGTGAGGTCATGCACTGTACTTATGGGTTCACTTTGCATGGTTTTGTGTACCGAATACTGTGCTTTCCGCTCTATAGTTTTTAAAGTACCGTTTCATATTCCCTTTGCTTTTGTATGCCTTTTCTGCCTACTGTGAGGTGCTTACCACAGAAAGCACCTAAAATGCTGTGCACACCATATGAGCTCTGTAAAAACTAACTGGATGAACAGTTCCCTCCCCAAGTGCCCCCAACGGCACGGCTTGACTACGCCTACTTACATGAACTACTTCTTTCATAACTATTTACGAAAAAAGAGGGGAGGGAAATTCTTGTATTAAACTCCATGAATAACTAGCCTAACACCTATCACTGAGCATCTAGGGGCAAAGCAGCAACAGCGGAAGTGGACAGAAGCTTTTCTTCTCTTTCCAGCAAAAAGTTCCATTTGTGCTTGTTCCAAGGGGCTCCCCTATTGCTACTGCTGCCCAATTATGAAGAAAGTGAAGACGAAAGAAAAACTCTTATGTTTTCTCTGTAAAACTAGAGGTGAGAATGCCAAGGGAAAAATACAGAGTAACATTGTAAATTCCGCTTAAAAATGCAATGGCTATGGAAGTTTTTACTTCTATTTGCCTTTTACTCAACTAATTGAAACAAGGGAAGTCTTTACCTGTAATGGGGAATAATTCTTCTTGAGGGCAACTAACATGGGACAAGTGCATCTACATGAAGTGTGAACCATACCTTGGCACTTGATTTACACTTTAATTTCAACATTTGCTCTTTGAAGTTTTAGTTTTTAATTTTTAAAAGTTTATTTATTTATTTTTGAGAGAGAGGGAAAGAGAGAGAGATCATGAGCAGGGCAGGGACAGAGAGAGAGGGAGATATAGAATCTGAAGCAGGTGCCAGACTTCGAGCTGTCAGCACAGAGCTGGATGCAGAGCTCGAACCCATGACCTGAACTGAAGTCAGACACACAACCGACTGAGCCACCCAGGTGCCCCATGAAGTTTGTTTTGATACAAATGAAGAAAATTAAATTTTTGAATATTTTGCCTTCTAAATTCATGTTTTTGTTTTTAAAACAATATTCTGGTGTCTAGGCATTTATTATTGCACACTGACACGCAGGACAATGAAAAACAATTTCAGAATTGAGGGCTAACACTATTTTTTAAGATTTAGGCATGATTCTTAGTACATATACATAGAAACAAAGGAGAGGGGATTAGCATCAAAGCATAATTGGGATAAAGATTCAGTCCTGTATTTCTAGCTTATTCCCACACAACAATACTCCATTTCTCATCACATCTTTGAAAACCTCAAAATTAGTTGTGCAGCAATACAGTTCGATTGACAGAGCAAGAATCACAAATACAAGGAAATTCAGGGACTTGGCAAGGTAATTCAGCAATCCATCTCAGTGTGCACCATGGAGACTCTCAAAGTTCTGGTAGACTCTTATCTTCAGTATCTTGATGACAAGGAAGAGTGTGGCCTTTTCCAACACATAAATAACATTATTTTCTTGGAAGCACTGAAAAAGTATGATTCCAAGAATATATTTCAGCCAGTAGTTCATATACGCCATTTGGGAAGAAAAGTGTATTTATTCTGGACTTCGGAGGATTTATCATCACCCTGGGAAGCGTCCCATATGAAATACAGTTAGTCACCTAAAAAAGGAGTCTTCTAGGCATCCTTGAACATGAAGATTGAACATGTCAGGGAATACATACAAAGACAACTTTTCTCTTCACGCCTCCTAGTGGTGTGGCTCATGTGATAGAGGAGGAAGCAGTTATTTAGATTTTTTCAGCTGTATTTTTCTTTTATCTGGTCGGAGTAAGAGTAGGTTGGGGAAAATTTCCTACACAAATATTGATTCTGGGACATTTCCCTCCAGTGGAACACGTACACAGGAATGACAGCTTCTGGGACCGAGGGAGGCTGGGAGCCTCACTCTCTGCCAACACAAACCATCTCCTTATCTCTCAACCCAGAGTCTGAAAGCAAGAAAAGGCCTTTGAAATAACTTACACAACAAAAGTCACAAGCACAAGATCTAAAGCATATATTTTCAATAGCAAACATGAAAATCCACATGTTTTATGTGCTAAGTATATATGTGGATTACTAAGCACCAATTCACATAAGAGTACTTAGTTTAAATGCACCTATTTGTAAGTTAGCCAAGAGTCATTCCAGATGGACTACTGCAGACAGCCTTCAAGATTTCAGGGCTTGCCTTAATATCACTTCCTTGTTACCTTCAGGAGAATAGGTTTTCTCTCATGACTTACTAGGATGGTTGCTAAGACAACTTTCTTAATAATTCTACTAATATTATTATTTAAACACAAAGAAGACAGACGTCCTTTCACAACAATGCTTATTTAATTTCTAATCAATTTTGCAAAGGTAAGAAAGAGCCACACTAGCACAAATTAAACGCAAGGATCGCGATGTGCTAGGTGACTATACTTGAGAGTGTTCTTTACAAACCATTTTTTTTTTAATTTACACACCGTCCAAAAATGTCACCACACAGAGAAATTTAACATTTCATGTCCCAATGTGAGAAATCACCAAACACAGTCAAGAGAAGTAATTCGCTGAGTATTTTGCCAACAACTAAAGTTGGGGCAATAATACCATCTTTCACCTTCGGAGCATTTTTTTATGGAGGAAGGTTTCCTAACGGGTCTCTCATTTGAGGTTCATACATCCTGAAGACATGGACAGGGAAAGTCATCGCCATCTTATACATAAGGTGAAGTAACCTGTGCCAGCCCTCCCGGGATAAGGGATGTTTCTACAGTGGTGCCAGCCTGTGTCTGTCAAGGATGCAACAGTACCGTGTTGGTCAAACTGCACATCAACAAGTCCATTCATGGGGGTCCTCATCAGTATTTCTTTTTTCTCTTTTTTCTTTTCTAACGAAACAGAACAGAATAAACTAGAACAGGAAAAAAAATGTAAACGTCAAACTGCATCGCAACCAGTAACGTCAGGTACTGTTCACAAATGCGATCAGATGTGTACCAGGTGGGGCTGTTTTGTGTGTTCAATGGGTTGTGGACTGTAAAATGTTAGGAAAACACTGAGGTGCTTCCAGGCCATGGGAGGCAGAACCCAGTTCCTCATTATCTAAATAACCGGCTATTTTTTGTACCATTC